CCCACACAAAAAATGAAGAAACGAGGTTAACACCAATTCGAATCAAGAGAAAAATTTCACAGATTCATCAGATAAACAGGATATGAGAGATTTCTAATAAAAGACAGCACAATATCCCGAGAAAATAGGGTAAGAGAAGCACTTACACAGCCATTTCCGAAGATAATCGCTGATCAAAGCCCAGATTCACCTACGATCAGTGCCGGCTCAATACTTTGACGGACCCTAGGGCAAAAAAAATTTTGGACCCTTAGAATTTTTTTTTTTTTAGTGTTTTTGTGTTATAAAATTTTTTTGTATGATCTATACTAGTATTTTTGTAGTCATTTTGGTGACGGGTGGGTAAAAATGCTTCCGGGTTATTTGGATATCCGACCCGTTTATAAATTTTAGTTATAAAAAGTTTGTTGGGTCTGGTTATATTTAACCCAACTTATACACTGGATATTCTGTATTTAATAATTTAGATATTTAGAAGATTTGATTAAGATTTAAAATTATGATTCTCCTATCATTTTTGTTTGATTTGTTTTTTAACTGTTTTGAATCATCATATCATATATAAAATAAAATAAAAATCAATTTTTTTTCTGCATATACTGTGATTCGAAATTTTAAAAAGGACATATATTATCCAACTGACGAAAATGTGTGTTTAACGTTCTACATCGATTAAAATATTCAGACAATTATTCAAAATCATATCATAAATAAGATCAACATTAATAAAATATATGAGTTTTTTGGCGGGACGGGTTTGGCGGAACGAGTTTTTGAATCAACAATAATAAAAAGATTAAAATATTATTAATCCGCCGCTTCAATACGGATTAAATCCTTAATTAATACCACCAATATTAGACATATTAAATCAGTCTCATTTAAAAAAGATTGTATAAAACCAAAAATTGTCTCGTGGTATAATGTTACTTAATAACAATTGTAAACTATAAAATATAAATATCTTAAAAAATTATAAAATTTGCAAACTTTTATATATAATAAATAATCGTTAAATTTTAAAAATTACTACTTTTAAAAAAAAAATTACGGGACGAGTTAAGAAGTTACATGGTGGGTTATATTTCGGAACGAAGTTATATGGTGGACGAGTTTGAATCAATATTTATAAAATTTTAAAATATCATTAACATGCCGCTTCAGTTTATTAAAATATAAACGTCTTAGAGAATGATATGATTTGTAAACTTTTATATATAATAAATAATCATTAAATTTTAAAATAAAAACAAATCACGGGACGGGTTCAGAAATTACGGAACGGATTATATTTCGGAACTGGTTTATATGTCGGACGAATTTGAATCAATATTTATAAATAGTTTTAATTCAGGTTAAATCCTCAGTTTATTAACAACTGTCTCGTGGACTCGTGGTATACCGTTACTTAATAACAATTGTAAACTATAATATAAATAAATATTTTATAAGAAGATACAATTTACAAAATATTTTTATACTAACTTTAAAAATAAATCATCCCGCGGTGTACCGCGGGTTAAAATCTAGTTTTTTTAATAAAAATATAATTACTAAAACTAAAAACAGTAAATAAAAAAATTTAGAGAAATTGTTAAAAATGCCCCTTTTTCAATACCCCTTTTCAAAAATGCCCCCTTTGAGAGTCTATTTTTAAGTTTGCCCTCTTTTAATTTTTAATGACTATTTTACCCTTATTTGAAACAAAATTAGGTCCACAAAATACAAAATATTTTTTGGCGGGAAAAGTGATCCCGCAATTTTCTCGCCAAAACACTTGTAAAAACCTTTAAAAAACCTTGTAAAATTTTCCCGTAAAAATTTTTCCCGCCAAAAAATTTTCCCGCCAAAAAAATTTTTTTGCGGGAAAAGTGATTCCGCAATTTTTTTGCGAAATTTTTTTGGCGGGAAAATTTTTGGCGGGAAAAATTTACAAGGTATTTTAAAGGTTTTTTACAAGGTATTTACAAGTGTTTTGTAAGGTTTTACAATGTATTTTAAAAGGTTTTACAAGGTACTTTTAAGGTTTTATAAGGTATTTATAACTTGTAAAACCTTATAAAAAACTTGTAAAACCTTATAACTTGTAAAAACCTTATAAAATAGCTTGTAAAATCTTATAATATCTTATAAATACCTTGTAAATACGTTGTAAAACCTTTTAAAATACATTGTAAAACCTTATAAATACCTTGTAAAAAACCTTTAAAATTTACAAGGTATTTTAAAGGTTTTTTACATGGTATTTACAAGTGTTTTGTAAGGTTTTACAATGTATTTTAAAAGGTTTTACAATGTACTTTTAAGGTTTTATAAGGTATTTATAACTTGTAAAACCTTATAAAAAACTTGTAAAACCTTATAACTTGTAAAAACCTTATAAAATAGCTTGTAAAATCTTATAATATCTTATAAATACCTTGTAAATACGTTGTAAAACCTTTTAAAATACATTGTAAAACCTTATAAATACCTTGTAAAAAACCTTTAAAATACCTTGTAAATTTTTGGCGGGAAAAATTTTCCCGCCAAAAATTTAACGCCAAAAAAATTGCGGAATCACTTTTCCCGCAAAAAAAATTTTTTGGCGGGAAAATTTTTTTGCGGGAAAAAATTTTACGGGAAAATTTTACAAGGTATTTTAAAGGTTTTACAAATTTTTACAAGTGTTTTGGCGGGAAAAATTGGGGGATCACTTTTCCCGCCAAAAAATATTTTGTATTTTGTGGACCTAATTTTGTTATATTTCCTTATATATTTATGATATCTTTTATTAAAAGAAGGGTAATTTAGTCATTTTGTACATAAAAGGGGTATTTTTAAAAATGGACATCCATAGGGGGGCATTTTTGAAAAGGGGTATTGAAAAAGGGGCATTTTTGTGAGTCTCCCAAAAATTTATGGGCCCTTATAAATTTTATTTTTATGTTGTAATTTAATTTTTTAATACTTTTATAAAAATATTTTTAAAAAAGGGCCCCTTAATTATTGGAACACGGAATTGGACCCCTGGCCGTCGCACCGCCCGCCCCTATATCTGAGCCGGCACTGCCTACGATCAAACAAATTGCAATTTTCTTGAAGAGAAAGCCAGATAAAATCAAAGCACATGCACAGATTCAATGTATCTACACAGAAGAAGAACTATCGAACTTATCAATATCGTATCGATTAAGAACACCTAGAAGTCGAGCAACCTTGAAAATTCGCTAGATTGCTTTCGTATATATAAACAATTTATCGGCGGAGTGTAAGTAAACGAAAGAAAACTTACTAACAACCACTGTCTGCGATTGGATATCGCCGGAAATGATCGGGAAGTTTGAAATCGGCGGCAGTGAATGACCAGCGGGAGGAGCTGTGGTAGATCGGATTTGGACTCTGGCGCAGGGAAGAAGAAAGAAAGAGACAAAAAAAAAAAGTGAAGGTTGTTAGGGATATTTATGGGTTTAGGCGTTTAGCAATGTATTAGTGAGAGTAAAATAGGAAACTTACAACAACAAAAATTGATAACAGATAGTTTTAGTCAAATAAGTTTTGACTCATTAGTTATTTTGGATAATTGGATAAAGCAAATTTTATTGTTAGTTTATTTATTTTTCTTGCGTTTTTATAATATGGTTATTATTAACATTTTTTAGTTTTCGTTGATCATTATTGTTATGTTATTTATCTTATCTTATTTTATCTTGACACATAATAGTGTTTATCTGATAGATTTTCGTTATTATTTTATTTTATTATATAAAATTTAGGTTTTAAAGTTGCTAATTAACATCAGCAGTATCATATCTATTATTATATTAGAGATTTTTACATGTGCAAAAACATTACAAGAAAATTATACCTTATTGATTAGAGATTTTGTCATATGTAAACATATTATAAGAAAATCATTCAATAGATTACTAATTCTAAAAAAAATACTTTAGAAAAAGAAATAGAAATTTCTATAACTAATAAATTATTCAATTAATTACTAATTTTTTAAAATTAATATTATAACGTGTAAGAAAAAGAATTATTTTAAAAAAAAGATATACTTCTATAATTAAGGAAATTATATAAGAGAAAATTTGAAAAATTGCGCTATTTATGAGTTTTTGTTTGAAAAATGCCCTATACTTTTTTCTCTTTAAATAATATTTTCAATATATATAATTACTAAAATAGCTTCACTAAAATTCAGTAATAATTTTAAAAAATTATAGTTAAAACTGGAAAATCTATTATTTTAAATTAAATTAATATTTGATGTAATTAACAATTTTAAAGTCGATGACTCCAGAGCTCCAATCAAAGTTTTTAGTATTTTCCAAAAACTTGCTTAGCTCCTAGATATCAGCACAGTGAATGGAACATCAAGAAACGCCAATCGTTTTACTCAGAAATGGATATGAGACTTATCCTAATTGCTTTCTTAACAATGACATGCCAACATCAATATGCTGCCACCGAAAAATATATAAGCTAGTTTACATAAAAGAAAATATTTTTCAGTAATAATAATAATTACAATTTACTTACATCTTCACTTAACCAAGTTTGTGGGTCAATGAGTTCTAAGAAAAATTGCTTGTCTGTTTTTATAGTGTCCAAATTGATAGTTATATTCCTGCAATCAATCAGTACATGTGTTTAAAAAACTATTGATACAAAAGAAAAATATTTTTTTTTTCCGAAACTATATATACTTTTCTATCTTTAACCATGAATCCAGTCAATTAGCAATGCTTTGATCTGCTAAGGCAAACAGATCATATTGACTCGACTTCACAACATTTTTGGTTTTTCCCATCTCTTCACCAGTATCCAATAACAAACCATAATTTTAGATTTGCATATCAATGGTATCTTTCTTTCTCTGGGTATGTTAACGTTTGTTCTCTTTGGCTGGTATCACGTTCAAAATAAATATATATATAAATATTTTAAAAATTAATTAAGATTTTGAATTTAGTTTATTCTTTTTTCTTCAAAATTTTATATTCCAGTTTTTTTTTTTTTTTGTCACAACTGTGTTAGTTTTTATTAAGCCAAAACAGAGCCATTACAAAAGTTAACATAGCCACAGTTCACAAAGGCTTAACTGTAAAAACTAAAACAGGATTAAGAAAGGGATCAGTGGTATTCCCTTCACTATTCTAAAACAGAACCCAAAAAGTGAAATTATCTGTTCTAAAACTTATTCTACTTAAACAAACTTAACTTAACTAAACTAAACCTGTAATGGCAGATTACAGGGACCCAAAAAGTTATGACAGAAGTTTAAAGAGTGATTAACGTTTCTTAGGAGGCTTCAGAATTCCTCCTTCTTCAGCTTGAAGCTTATGCTTTTGATTCTTATCATCACCTTGACTGTTGAGACTTGAACTTGGGCGTCTTGACGATTCGCCAACCTCAAAGTTCCTTGTCATTCTTGATGAACTAGCTTCCTCATTAGTGAGAGAAGTGTTTGATCCTGAGGAAACTCGTCTTCTCCATAGTGCAGGTTGAGGACTGAGATGTGCAGAGTGTCGAAGTCCTTCAAAACTTAACCCAGGAAAGTAAGGAGAGGCAGCTGCTTGCTCATCCGGGTTCAAAGGTGGACAGTTAACCCTTGGTGGTGGAGGTAATGGAGCAGGGAAAGAGTAGTCTGAATTTTGAGATTGAGAGTTAAGGTCAGATCTTCTGTCTTCATCACTAAACCTTCTTCTGTTGAAAACAGGCACATCAAGGACTTCAGGACTATTCCTTGGAGTAGGAGGAGGGTTATTGTAAGGGCAGTGGCTGCGTTGATGAGTAAGGCGAAGACAGTTACTACAAATCCTTCTCAGATGCTCATACTGGAAACTGAGCATAGCTCTTTCTCTGGATTCAAAGCAAACTCTTCGAAAAAACCTTAAGCAAGCAGTGATTTCAAAACGAACTCGAACTCTAGTAAAGGTGATTTGAGTAGTGAATTCATCACTAAAATCCACATAGATGACTTCACCTAGAGTTTGAGCTATAAACCTGATTGTTCCATCAGAAACATAGGGGAGAGGAATTCCACGGATTTGTACCCAGAGATCAATGGTAGTGAGGAAATCTATCTATGGGAAGTCTTCCCACCGATGTGAAGCGACAAACCAATTGTTGAAAATCCATGGATTTATATTCCAGTTTTAATTTATTAAAAATACATCTATTATTTTAAATCAAGACAAAATTGTCATTTTACATATTAAAAATTGTGGTTTAAATTAAAAATAGAGAAAAATGTATTTTTCAAACAAAAAATTATAAATATGGTAGTTTTCAAAATCTCCCAATAAGATAATTGATAACTAATATTGTAAAAATATTATTGTAAACAAATTATTCAAATTAGTAATTCCAAAACCAAAAAATAAATTAATTTAAAGAATGTTCCATTTACCAAAGTGTTTGATATAAAAACTGAAAGTTATATAAACAAAAAAAATTACATGTCAATTAATTTATGAGCATCAAATTAATTGTATAAATATATAGATTTAATATGTAATTCTGATCTAATAATATTTAAAAAATTACGTTTTTGCTTATTTTTACTTGATTTTGTTTGTCAATATAGTTTCTTTGTTTTTGTTTAATTTTCTAATAATTATAATAGGTGTAGTCAAAAATAATTTAGCAATCTTTTTAATTGGTTTTGATTTTTTGAAAATATATGATATAAACTAGAAAATTTAGCATAATTTAAATTTATGTATATAGAAACTAGAAAAATACACTGAAACAAAAAATACACCAAGGTTTGAAGCAACATTTGAAAATTTGACGTTGTTTGAGGAGGCAAAGATGTAGCAGTCGACGCCATGGAATCGTCACTGGAGTAGCCATCATCATCTCCAATGTAAGTCGTCCAGCCTGATCCCTCACCTTCAGACTCCATGGTTCGCTGACCAGAGAAGGGCTTACAAGCAGCTCTGTGTCAATTACCTGGCTTTGTGTTCTGTCTTTCACCACATGCTATAAGGAACAGCTCTCTATCATTTTTGTGTCTCTGTCTCATTAACTTCTCTGTGTACTCTATTATTCTTTGTCTTCACAATGAGTAAATGAACACCTAGATTCTTTGTTTATATGATTATACCGCTAAATTAAAACGAAAATGCATTTAAATGTGAAACGAAAATTTGAAACTTAGATATTGATATATATGTCTCTTCACTTGGCGCTTTCAAACTCTGTGAATATATTCTTGTTACTATATAAAGTTGAGCATGAGAAAACATTTATGTGTTAATAAGCTTTTATCACTTATCGCGCGCATAAAAAATAAAAATATACACAATAATATGAAACCAGAAAACAAATACATGGGTATTGAACTAGTACTGGCCAATACATCGATTTAATTCACGCCAACTTACATGTAACATTACATTTACCATTGATATCATTAGGTGATGAACATATGAAATAGTTTTGATTAGCTGGATCAACCACTCGTAAAACACAAATCTCATCTTGAGAAGCTTCTTGGTGATCTCTCGAAGAAACTTTATTGCAATTTGGACGAATAATCTCACTATATGATTTCTTTGTGGATCGTAACAAATCATAAGTCCATGCCCCTGATAATGCTCCGAGCACCGGTGAAATTATGTATAACCATAAGTCCTTATAACATCCCCATATAAGTGCAGGTCCTAAGCTTCTTGCTGGATTCATCGATGCTCCTGATATTGGCCTAACCAAATTTATGGAAAATAGAACATTTTTTATCATACGTGTAAACAAACTAACCATGAAATATTTTTAAAAGAGACTTATAAGAATAATTAGTTACCCGGAGAAAAGGATGTCGAGTACTACGGTTGCACCAATAGCGATTCCAGCGAGTGACCCCGTGGCTCGTTTATCGGTAGCGACAGCAGATATAACAAACATTAGATTGAAAGTAGCAATGAACTCCATTACAAACGACGTTGTGGTTGAGTTTGATGGATATGTTCCAACGTAAACATCGCCTTTGAGGCTACAAACATCATCATTCAGATGGAACACAAGCCGTAAAGCTGCAGCAGCTAAGGTCGATCCGAGAACTTGAGCGGCTATATACCCTGGAACCTGTAAAAAGATCAATAACAACCACCACATCTCTATACTATTAAAAGAGAAGTACAAATAAAAATGGGTCGGGTTAAAATCAGAAAATTGACCCTAAATTTTGAAATCGGATCTTTGAATTTTTTTGGGAATATAAATTCGAATTAATAATGAAAAATCGAATGAAAAATGAAATATTTATGGAAATCAAATAAAATCTGATTGTACTTATGGCAACTAATTATAAAAGCATATTCCGAACAATATTATACATTAATTACGTATAATAGTTTTTTTCATATATTTTTGTAACTAATTCGATAACAATCAACGTTTTTATCATTAATTTCGCTCATTTTAGCTAATTATCATTAATTGAAAGATATCTTACTTGCTTCTAAAGATTTCTAGAAAATTTATCACACATAAGTAATACCCCATCTGTTTTATAAATTAAATAGATATTTTTATTTTGGTCGTGTACATTAAATAGATATAAAATCCATGTAACTAATTTTAATTTAATTAGATTAAATCGAAATTATGGTATTTTCATACCTATAGCTTACCAAAGAAGTTTAATTTTCAATTTATAAAGATTTATTGAATATGATTTTAGAATTATTCAACAAGATGATAAGTATTTATTAAATTTTGTGAATCATGAAAAATAATAACTAATTTTTAATCATTATATTTCATCTTTCAATCTCTCACCTAAGAAATAAAATACATATTCTATTATTCCTATGTCCAAACTTCATTTTGTTGTATGACTAAATAATATTCCCATTAGAGCTGTCAAAGCGAGTTGATTCGTCCCGTTAAGCCCGTTTGCGATAGGCACAAAATATTATGACTTGTAGTTGTCGGTCCGCACGATCCGCGGGTAGCATATATGAAATACAAACCCGTCCCGCGAATGTATGCGGATTTGCGGGATTGTCCGTGGATTTTGTTTAAATAGTTTTAAAGTAACCAAAATTTAAAATACTACTAAAATAAATAAATAAATAAAAATACTATTATAGTTTTTTTAAATTACCACATGTTGAATAAATTATAATTTTATCCATAAATACTAACATGCGGGCTGATCCACCAATCCGCGGATGAAAACCGATTAAACCTATGACCCACTGCGAATTAATCCATGTGGCCCGCTTATTTGCGTGTTTAATATATTTTCCCAAATCTACCCTATAGTAAAATGATTTGGGCTCGACCCGCGGTTTTTGACCTATTTTGACTGCTCTAATTCCTATGAATCGTCTAATTTTAGAATTTTAAAACACAAAATTCTATTTTGTAAATCATAATTAATACGATGAGTTTATTTATAAAAAATTTAACATTTTCTCTACAATTCGTTATTCTGAATATTTATAAGTATACTACACGATTCGCTCTACTAAAAACACACAATATTAAACTCAACGTATGTAAACCAATATTCCCCGCGGTGAACCGCGGGTCCGATCCTAGTTTCATATACAATTTATGACTCTGGTTGGTAATACATGTTTTTTTCCTGCTTCTAATTCATAATATTGCAGTAATCATTAAATAGCATTACAAAGAATAAAAATGAATTTAATAGTATGATGTATTTTTTTATAATTGTAGATATCTTTGGATCACCTGATTAAAAGGGAACTTTTTAGAAGAGGCAAAAGCAATGGAAACAGCAGGGTTGAAATGTGCACCGGAGACATGACCAATTGAGTAGATCATAACCGTTACGGTTAGTCCCCATACCAAAGCTATACCGGGAAGTGTCACCGGTTTTCCGTACGTCTCATTTACCACGATGGCCGAACAACCGGCAAATATCATAGAGAATGTTCCCACGAACTCTCCAATCAACTATAGAGTTTCAAGTTTTCAACAAAAAATCAACTATAGAGAGAACAATAATGGAAATAGATGTTTGTTTGGTTTGATTATTATACTTCATAAATTGGAAAATCAATCACCAATAATTAGAACCAAAGTCAAGATTGAGCTCGCAATCGCATATAACAACATCACACGAAATATAAAAGCTTGATTCGACTAACAAATATTTCACGATAAAATTAAGAAACCATGTCGCAACATAAAAGATGTGTCTCACCTTTTGAACAAACGATACGGACACAAGAGGACCGGATAAATCCGACGACCGGGAATCATCAATTGATCGATCGATGTTCAAGACAACGGTTTGAGCCTGAGTAGTAATATCAGAAATCTCAGCCATTGATGGAACTATGGTGACCTTTCTCCAAGTTTATGGTTTGCTCATCCAAAAAAACTCAAATGGTCAACTCTACTTTGTATTCGTTATAACTTATAAGCAAATAATAAAGTTGACTTTTTTTTTATTCTATAGTCTATACCACATCTTGATCAATTCTTTATCTTTGTCACAAAAAACACGACATGGTTTACACGATAGTTATACTTATATGTAATCAGCTTGAATTAGAGATGATATTTCAAAACACTTGATTTATGTATAGATGTTAAGCTAAGATGAACAAAACATAAGCAAAGTGTGTATAGTTGTGTTGTTATGTGAATGAGATTAATTAATTAATTAAAGATTTGGTAGAGATCAAACTCATAATGTTTCATTTTCTTTTAGAGGTACTGTGTTTGTATTCTCTCTCTGTTCTGCTCCCACCATGTCTTTGCATGCACTTCCCCAAATTTTTCCCGGCTGTTGATTAAACCACAAAAGCATAGATTCCGGTTAGTCACGGTACGATTATCGAGTTTCGAAAATGTCTAGCATCTTGCCAATGCTTAGTTTTAGATGTTTTGTTATACCTGAATCTGACTCGCCGTAGCTCTCTAGTCCCATCAGCTAATTGTCTGATGGTAATGTAAACCCCGGGCTCGTCCTCTTCGATCCACTCAGCTTGCATTTCACTAGCATTGCTCATGGAGGGTGGATCATCTCTGGAAGAAGTGGTGGTTCTTGCCGCATCCATTGGTGGTCCTCCATGATAACTTCCTGGTCCATAGTTGCTAGAGCCGCCATAAAAGTGATGCGGGACACTTCCTGGAGTTCTGAAGTTGTTGTGTCTTGGAGTCCAGTCTTTGCTTTCTCTCGCTGAATCCATCTTTGAGTACGTTGAATCTCTCTGTGACTGAAAAATAAACTTGTGTTACCTTCTTTGGATCAAAGGACAAGATTCACAAAGGTAAGGGAATGTTAAAGTGGTACCTGATCTTCGGATCGTGCAGGTGTTTGAAGGGCTTGGCGGTTAAATCTCTGTACATTGTAAAGCTCAACGATCTTGTCATAGTTCTCACCCCACCATCGTTGAGCTTGCCACTTATCAAACATCTCCCGGCTTTCATAACAAGAGACACAAGTAATGGTTAGTATTTATCTCATGTTTCAGCTAAATAAAATATCCTAAGCACTTGGTTGTTTTGAGTAGTTCAAATACCTGAAACGGATCCGTTTGAGATCATTTCCTCCAGTGGGAAGCGAAGCGAATGTGATATGAACACCGGGTTCTACTTGAGCCATCCACTCTTTTGGCACTTCATCATCCAGTACCACATCACAAGACTGTGCAGAGATAGATTCTCGATCATTTCCATATATTGAGGTGAACTTTGATTCTAACCGTCCAGCTGGATGGTGAGAGGAGTTTGTGAAGTCCCAAGCAGGAGTTGAACCCGCACTTCCACCCATGTAAGGGTATGGAACACCTTCAGAAGCATTGTCATAATCCGGGAACGGTCTATGTCCTTTCTTCAAGGGACTACTAGAAGAACCAGTGCATGGCTTGCATTGTTTATAAGCACCAGAGAATTTCAAAGCCATATCTTTAATCTGCATAACATAGACACCAAAAAAAAACACCAATTAGATCAAAGTAACACATATAAAACACAAGAATGTTGAATACAACTTTTCACAAACATTATAGGTAGTTTCAGGACTTTAACTTTGACCAAGTATATTTTTTAATTCTAACGAAGTAAAAAGGAGGTCTACGATGATGATTATTGATAAAAGAACATCAATAAAGCTATGAGATCTAACATAATTAAACCCTTAAACATATGTATAAAATAATTTAATCTTGTCTTCTCAGTCTGGAGAACACAATCATAACGGCCCACTCTATATTTTGTTTTTGTTCTTTTTATTTCCTGTCTAGGTAAGAATCCACTAAAGCTTATTTGACAAAAAAAAAAAGTATTTAGATCAATCTTCATTAGCAATATTCATCAAAGCATGACCCCAATATAAGCTTTAATCAGCCACTATAGTCCTAATAATTCAACTTGCTACATAACTCAAAGATATATACAATAAGGGTTTAAATTGTCTCAGTAGTTGTTTTGACTTTCATATGTCTAGTCATATAGAGAGGAAACAAACACTGACATGAAAACTATTAAAGAGAGAATGGTGAAAGATTCCAAAAATTGGCGTGAAGTTACCTCATTGTAAGATCTCTGTCCTAAACAACAGTAACCTCTATATACTAATGAATTCAAACTCTATCCTTTGGAATCTCAATTGCTTTTTTCTTTATCCTCTAAGATACGTTAATTGGGGTTTGTGTCTTTGTTTGTTTCACGAACAAGGCAATTAGTGAAAAGCAATAAAATAAAGTGAAAGCAGAGAAGGATCAACAAAGAAAGAAGAGAGATTCAGAGAGAGAGAGAGACCTGAATGGTTAGGCTTTTGACGGCTTCTTTAGTATTGGGAGTGGTGCCTCCACGCGCTCCATTTTCGACTTCTTCACCTCCGTCTGCTTTGGTACAAGTTATGCAAGAAAACATCTTTGGTCTCTTTTTTTTGTGTTGTTGTTCTCTGCCTTTTCAGACCTATAAAACCAGAGAGTACTCTATTAAACATCATCACAAACCAAACCTCACACTACTCTACTCAAATGAATAATAATACTCTACAAAATAAAACAAAAAAGTAATTAAGAACTTTAAAGTAGAGAGCTAAGTCTCACAATCCGACATAAAGCTTATGTAATCATAGTACACATGTAAACATTAGTTAGAAGTTAGAAGAAACATAGAAAAGGAAGGGTATTTGGATTTCAATTGTCGTTTTCTTATAACGCAAAACACAAACACAAAAGGACAAAGTTGTTGACATATCTCTAGTCAGGAAACAACTACTCATGTTATATATATAAAAAATGTAACTTGATTGATAAAGTTGGATTGGTTGGTAGTTTAACTCATAAAGAAACCAATGCTAAATATTTCAAGAACTAAACCCACTAAAAAAAAAAACAGCTAACATAATTCTTAAAAAAAAACATTACACAATGGTCGGATATTAGTTTCACCTATTCGTAGAGCGAATAGAAATATAAGCTGGGGAGGTTTTAGATTAGTGGAGTGATCTTGATAAAGACAAAAGTGTTGAAAGAGATAATAAAACTACATGTTACACTTTTCTTTATTAAAAAAAGATGTTATAATTAGAGAAGAAAGAGAGCTTGGGGATCAGAGGATATATAGGACCCCAATTAAAAAAACTATTTTAAAAATTAATTGTGCAAATCTAAACACCTGAAAACTGTATAAACACATTTTTTCCAAGTAATAATATATTCTAAAGACGATCATAATAGAGACAAATGGTTCTTTATTCTACTTTAAATAGTTTTTTTTTTTTTGGTTAAAGAATAACTTAATACTTTTGTGTGCAGCAAAAGATCCTAAACCCATCCCTCAACTAACAAAAGTTGGAAGAATAATTACATTTTTTGCAGGAGCCGAAATTTATGACATTTTTGAAAATCAGATTATATTGAGACTAAAAGAATCAAATAATATGTTCTGATTCCCCGTGTTTAACACCAATTAGAACCGAAAATATATAAAATAAGAAAACAATTCGAATCACTGAAAAAGGAAAAGAAATGAATACAATTTAACAAGAAAATGGAATCTTGACAGTCACGTGTTAAGAAAAAGGAAAAGAGTTTGGTTTCTATTTTTAGGGTTTTGAGTGATGATGGACCAATCTAAAGCGTGTCGCGACATGAAAACTAAACTATATCGAAAGTAAAAGATAAAATTGCAAAAAACAATCACGAATCACGAAAAAAACTCTGTTTTGATATCAAAAGCAAAGGCAAAAACTGATACAAAACCCCATTATTATTCTCACATTCGAAAACGACTTCTTGATTATTAGTAGTATTTTTCTTAATCATTTCAATCCAAAAATAAAATTTTGATTAATGGGTTTGGAGTATTACTCACCTTTGTGTTTCGATATCTGAGAAATGAAGCGACTTGATTTGAGATTTTTGAGATATAAGAGATAGTAGCTTCTGCTTTATTTCCTCTTGAGGGTTTTGGTCTATTTAGGAAGCCGGCACGAGTGGGGTTAGTTCTGAGTCTAAGTCTATATATAGACCATCAATGGCTGCAGAGAAGATTAGTGTAGTGTTACAGACAGTAATTGTAATAAATGTGTTACAAAAGGACGAAAACAATTTATGATGAATTTTGCTTTTTGAGAAAAATTCGGCGTTTTCTCAAAAAAGTAAAGTAATGAAAGAACAATAAATACCGGGAAACTTTTGAATGAAAATGAAAATTTTTAATATTGATGAATGAAAACATTTTCCTGGAAAGTTTTTGATTTGGGTTTAGTGAGAAAATTTTGGAAACTTATTTGGTGTTAATCAGAAAAATGACGAATCGAATCTGTCTAAATCAAATCAATCAAGTGACAGTGGAGGAAAATGTTTGCAGAAAAAGATAACGAAAAAAATAAAAATAAAACTCTCTGAATATTTTTTTTTTCCGGGAAAAAATAGTTTTGAAAAGATTGATCGGAAAAAAAAAAACCAGTGACTAATCGTTTCTACAGAAGCAAGAAACAAAGCAACGAATCTCTTTGTTTTATTATTTTCCCGAGAAAAATCTTTAAAAGAGAGATTTTTTCATAAACTCGTGTACTGACCTGAAATGTCTTCTTCTTCGAATCTGGTTCTGTAATAAACTTCACTGAGAAAATCTCCAAAATCAAAAACCCTCTGAAATTTGAAAAAATGAGAACAGAGACAAAACCGGGTCGAGAATTCGGGTTATCGGGTGACCCGAGAACTAAAAAGGAGCTCCGAGGTTTTTTGTTATCTAAGTAGACGAAGAGAAAGAGAAGAGACAAAAGGTTCGTTCCATATATATATATATACATGGAGGAAAGAGAATTTTTAACGGCGTGTAAAGATAAAAAAAAAATGACCGTGAGTTTTAACGGAGGTTTTTTTATTTTGGTGTGGCGATGAAAATTTGGTCTAGAGAAGAGACGGCAAAGAGGGCCCATGTTGTCTACCGGTGACGGAGATGGCTTACGTGTGCTGGAAGTAGAGTACGTGGCAGTTTGGGATTGGTTTAAGACAGCTGAAACCGGGTCGGGTTTTGGTCACGATACATTTGACAGGCCAAGGGAACCGTCGCATCAGGATTCGCTTTGTGTGGGTTCATTTCATCATCTCTTTTTTTTATTTTATTTTATTGTTTTTTATAGTTTAAATATATATATATATATATATATATATATATATATATGTGTGTGTGTTTCATCGTTTTGTCTTGTTTTGGTTATGATCATGTGTGACATTTTTTTATTTTATGTTTCTACTAAATGAGTAAAGAAGCATCGATTGTGAATAGAATCGATAACTTGATCATTGAAAATTTATTTGTATAAATAGAGTTATGATATAGGGTGAAATTAAGAATAAGTTGAAGTGTTTGCTTAGATAGTGTCCCAATCATGGATTGATGTTGGCATGGTGGATGGAGAATTGAAGTATGGGATAGATACAACTATTTCTATTTATTTTACACATGTGATGTGTTTGTTTGTCATGTTCATTTCTTTTATATATTATATTGTAATCCTCCCACCTTTTTTTTTTTTATAAAAAAATTGTCTTTTCTTGACTCGTTAAACCAAATTATTCTAGGGTTAGAGATTGCTATAGAAGAGCTTGCAGAATTGGCGATTGGTTATGTATTTTTGGAATAAATTAATGTTTTTAGTGTATTTTGTTTTCAGTTGCATATGTAAGTTATTTGGCCATGTCCGTTTGTTCATCTGGATGATGATGATGCAAACTATTAATAAGATATGAGTTAAATATTTCACTGAATGTTATAATTAACATAGTAAATTACAAATTTTCAAAGGAAGTACAATTGAGCTGAACCTCTAAGATATAAGAGCATATTAGTAACATAATATGTTAAAACTCAGACAAAAAGTTGTTGATATTAATCACCATGAAGTTTTTACATGTCGCGTGAAAGTATGTATAGTTCGAATAATTTAAAATTATAAGAAAATGTTATGAACGAGTTACGAGCTTGACTTTACTTAGTCGTGTTGTTCATCTATTTTTTTGTACTTTTAAGATTAAAAAATGTAGATAAACCTCACTTGATTCCGATAAAGATGGTAAACTAAAACACAAACTTTTAATTATAAAATTACTAAATAATGGTAGGCATAAGGAGATCATTCTCCAAAGTTGCATAGGCTGATAATATCGTAATGTTGATTCGCGGTTAAGTAATAGGCAATACACTTCTCTGTAATAATATATGAATTATGGCCACCAATTAAATTACATACATGAACTAGGTTAATCTAGTTAATCCCTCTTTAATTTAAACTAATAACTTTGGCTTGAATTAATCAACTTAGATCCTAACATTGTTAGTCAACCCTTCTAAATTTGTTGAGTCATATGACATGTTATAGAAATCGAAATGATATCATTTTAGATTTACAAATAGACGGTATAAATTTATGTACATAAACTGAAGTAAATTTGTCAAAAAAAAACTTCATAAACTAATACAAAAGAAGCTTTATAATAACATTAATATTAGTTTATATAGGTTTTGTGAAGAGTAATTTAATCAAAATTACGTTAGTTTTTTGGATCATACTATGATTTAGCAAATTTGTTAGTTTGTAAACTATGATTTAGCAAATTTGTTAGTTTGTAGACTAAGGGCTCTAGGATCAATGTAAACCAACCTTTGTTAGTTTGTATAGGAACTTCACTAAATTTACATGGTTAATATATGAGTTTTCACATGTCATTTAATTCATGTTCGAATTTAAAGAGTGATCATAGATTCATAGTTCATTTATGAATTGGTTTTCCCAGTGGTCGGGTATTTAATTTATTTTGTCCTAAACAGTTCATTTCGGTTTGTAAAACAAAACAAAATTACACAAAACATTTCATCTATCTATATATATATAGTATATTATAATGAATAATGTACTAAATGACAAAATGCAATAAACATTAGTTTTTATTTTTATTGAAATTTTTCTGTTTAAACATCCCGTAGTAGTACTATATATATACAAAAAGTATCGAATTTTTTTTATCGATCCAACTGTAGTTCGATCTGAAAACATTGAAAATTCTAAGGTGCAGTGTAATAAAAGCATTTAGCATATGTGCAACATGTTAGACGATGCTAAACTTTCTTAAAAAGAAATAAAATCAGACACATAAATATAAAATATAAAATGTATCTTTAACCCAAAACGTCGGGGGTGGGAACTTAGCTTTATTCCTGGGGCTAACCTGTCTTTAAGCAAAGAATGCTTCGAACAGAGGGACAGCAAAACTCCAAATAAAGATCCAAGACATATATGAAAATAAGTAAGAACAAAAATAGGTAAAAAAATCAATTCCTTATTTAAAAATAAAATAAAATGAAAAACAGTTAATTATTGTAAGAAGTGTTCATCACAACCACCACTAGATATAACTAATTATTAAAACAACAACAACAACAACAAATGGTGATGTAACCTTAAAAATTTTTTAGAAATTCTTCCAAAAACCTAAATTTATTGTATTTTGAAAATGTTCTAAATATAATATTTTATATGAAGAGATGTATGAGAGATATAAACAAATTAGAACATTACTTAGAAAACGGTTTATTGTTAACTTTTATTATAGTTTTTTTTTTTTTTTTTTTTTTGTAACATGACTTTTATTATAGTTGAGATTTAATTAATGTGCAATAAAAGTATAGTCAATGTCTCCAAAACGCTTCCCATCTTGTCTTACATTATACTTTGTCTTTTGGATTTGTTTTACTCTTTTACTAATAAAGATTACAAACATGTTCTTCAGCTTTAGGGCTTTTATTTTATTTTATGTTCCTTTTTAGACATCTTTTCACTCCATAGTTAGATCATATTCCATTTATGTAAATAGGAAAATATTTAAATTTCAGAATAATCGTGTAAATTCACAAAAACAAATTCCTAAACTATCATTTCCTAATTATGTTTTAAAACGACCATCAAAATCTTAACATTCCAACATTATTTTACGATACACTTGTGTTTATATAGGTTATCCAAAATGATATTTTAATTTAAATTTTTAACGTCATATATTTTTATATTCAGTTTTATATAGGTTACGACCATTATCCCTTTTATTCAGTTTTATATTTTTCGCTTAATGAGCGAAGTGGTAGTTCTTGATAATTTTGGTCTCAAAACTTGCTGAAGTTACCGGAACCGAGGGGATAAAAACACAAGTTTTTTTGATAATGAAAATGGTACAATTAAACTTTTAAACTCATTAATGTTATTGTGAACGTTTGTATTGTGTACAAATGTAGTATATAATATAAAGCAGTGCTACAACTTTTTGTACGTCCACAATGTATAATATTAAATGTAAGTTTGGATACTTCCAAATTTTATTAACTTCAAATCGTAATTTTGAGTGATGTACGTGACAAAAGTACTGATAATATTAAATGTGTCGCGACTCGAGAGAAACGAAACGAGAATTAATGTATAGACGTGCATCATCCAAAACCTTAAACAATCTAATTGTTTATTAAACGCTCACACGTTTTCATAAGTTTGGGAATGGGACAATAACTACAAATCTTGATCGTTTGTTCTTAGAGCTATCATTTTAATGTGTTTATAATTGTTATATTAAAAATTTATACGTTAATCCTATATACGTATAACCAGTTTGAAAATTTGATAAAGAGGAAAAAGATCAGTTTCAAATCATGGGCTACGTACTTTCCTTATGTCTCCTTTTTTTTTTTTTTTTTTTTTTTTTTCTTTTAGCTATTAAAACAGTGTTTAATTTGAACTGACATATTCGAAAGTGAGATTATGGTTCGATTTTTTTTTTCAATTTTGAAAATTCTTAATTGCAGAAACTTTTTAGTGAGAACAAGTATTACGGACACAAATTTATCCAAAAATACGTTCTTTTTTCGTTAGCTCAAAATTTCTCTTAATATAATCAAAACAATAGACAAAATCTACAATTTGATGAACTATACAATGTATGAAGGTATTATATGGTTGTCTTTGAATTTCCATATGAATTTGTCAAAAGCATGTATTATGCAGATTCGAACTTGAATGGTGACATAACAACGATATATTATATATATATATATATATATACTAATTAAGTTGATTTCAAATGCAAGAAGATGAAAAATATGGCAATCTTCGGATATGTGGCTCCAAAGCCCAAATGTAGACATTTAAGCCATCTGCATCACATGGAACTAGCTGGTGAAAGTGATGAGTTTAGGATTGACAAATCTTCCAAACCGAATCAATAAAAGCGTAAAAAAACTTTAACTACCAATGGAATCCCAAAATTTTTAGTCCTTAACCTAGTGACATTGAAGAGACGTTTAGTTAAAAGCCAATGATCATACCAAACAAAATATCGATTTATCATTTTGGACCTTAACGTGAATAAAAGGAAAAGAAATGTCTACAAACTTAGCACCAGTTTATTATTATTTTGTTGTAAGATTTTGGATGTATATTTGTTGGATGTAACTGTAGAACTTTTTGTTGTAGTTTTGTTGGATGTAACTATGTTTGCTATAGTTGTAAATGTAATTTTTTATTTATATATATTTCAAAATAAAAACATGATTAATAGTTATATAATTTATATAAATATATAATAATTACTGTCATGTGAATTATTTATTTTTGTATATTATAGTAAATAAAAATATTTTATTAGCACATAGAAATAGAAAACAACTAATATAAATTTTCTATCGTATACGACATTCCACAATAAATAATAAACTTCAATAATTATTTTTAAATATACATAGTTTTTTATTTTGTTTATTAGTAATATAATTGGTATAGAAAAATTAAATTAATAAAAAAAGGTTGAGCAAATTGTAAACAAAACATATTAAAATATTTTTTTGAAAAAACGAATGAAGACCTACCAAAAAAAGAAAGAATATAAGCTCAGTTGTTTGTTGCTTGAGGAGGAAGAAGGAGAGTTTTGTTATTGTAATAACTATGTTGAAATGATAGCTACATGAAAGTTGATTTTCAGATTTAGAGAGTCTTAATTATCTGTTGGTTTACAAACTGAAGAAATATGTTGTAAAGATTAACATGTCCGTTTAGTGACTTTTCTGTTTTTCTCCTTTTTGGTCTCCACTGGTAACATAGCAATTAGTAGTGTATATAGTATGTAATTCAAAACAATGCGATATTTACATGGCTGAAGAAGGTGCATCATATATGGTATTTTGTTAGAGTTATTCGTATTCTCGGAAATATTGAACAGATAGGTTAATTTGCTTATTCATTTTTTTGTGATATCATTTTGTAATTTTGAGTTCTTCCACTTGTGTGTTATCATTTATCAAAGCTCTCTCCGGTGAACCTTAGATGAGGCATGTGTTTGATCAAGACATCATCATAGGTTATGAAGAACAGAAGAAGATGATCATCAAAGAAAATGTTGGTTTACGAGTGAAGTCCACAACTGAAGCCGAGGCAACATCAATAATTTAAATATTCATAAAAACCTTTTTCTTTCAAAAATATAATTGACAAGTTTGTCCAGATATATTTGGATATGAAAATTACTAAAGTTAAACTAGTTATTAAATGAGATGAAATAGTCCTACTACGTTAGAATTTAGAAAAGGTAAAAGCATCATCAGGTGATTCCCTCTTCCAAAAGAAGATTACAGTAAAAATCCAATCCCCAATTCCTTTCCCTATTTCCCAGGTTTCCTTAATCTTTCTGTTCCTTTAATTCCTTTTTCCGCCTTGGATTTTTGTTTTAATTTTACTGTAAAGAAACCATAGCTACTAGTATTATAGTTTTATTCTATTTTGACGGCAAAGAAACCACACTTATTATCTAAGGAATAGAAGGAGAAACCAAACATAGTTGAAGTACAAAATTATTTCCAAATGAACTAGTTTATGCTTCAACCAAAATCAAAATAGACCCACGTCTTAGAATTAACAAGTGTCCGTACATGTTTTAAGTGTACTCTTTAAAGAAAAATAATTATTGAGAGGTGTTTGGTAATTCACCACAATAACCAAATCCGATAAAAGTATTTTAATTTCAAAATTACAACTTGGAACACTTTTTGTTTCCTCCATAATTTCCAAGAAAACAACACAAAACCCCTCAAATGGCCTCCCTGGCCCATACAAAATTCCCGAATCTAACCTTTAGTTAATATGCATTCACAACAATGACTGATTAGCCTGGCCCGTATAAAGTTGCCGAAGATTACATGCTGCATTACACAAGTAACAACGATGGTTCACTATATTTGAATTCACTTAAACTTTTGAACATTTTTTTTTTCTCTTTATTCGATACTACTATAGTGTTAGAACTGAATTTTTTTTTTTTAAGGATGTTCAACGAAATTCAGATTGTATTCAACCCCGAATAAACACTTGAGTGCGCTTTTTGGACCGGTTTCTCTGGACATATAGAACAAGTACAAACCCAAACTTCCACAGTTAAGAATGTTTATCTCCTGAATCAAACCACATTTTGCAGAACAAAATCTGATTCACATGTCTGCAACGGACCAGAGATAAGCCTCTATTTCCGTTGCTTTCCTCTCATTGGTCGTCTTAATCAATTTCTTCTCAGTTCCTGAACCAATACACAAAAAATAAAACAGATCAGCCAAATAATCTTCTAATGGAATCTTTAAATATGAATAATGAAAACAAATGTATTAGAGGAACTTACCGTTACTACGGTCGACCCCATCCCAGTGTCTACCCGGTTTAATCCCATAACGGTTTGTTGCAGCTTCCAACCCTCTCGTCAACCAACTATGTTTAGGCACACTTTGTGGTATAATGAACCCAGATTTTTTCATCTCCTCGTCGTCTCCTAGATCCACAAGAGTTGCCTCGTGCCGCTTCTTCTGCGATGTACAAAATCGGCAATACATTAGGATAATGCTTTTATGACAAGGCAATCTTGGTTATTCATGGGTTAGTAAGCAGAAGTAAATTCAATACCTTAACCAAATGAGCCATTGGATCTCCAAATCTAACTCTTTCCTTCAACATTTGATCAAGCTCCGGATCATCCCTGAAACAACAGAGATAAATACTGTTTGAATAAACAACCAAGTAATAAAAGCTCAACCTCGAGCTCAAGAAGAAGAATCAATAAAGTACCTTGTCCGAGCAAATGGCTTCTCCTTCTCAAGCTCAAGTTCCTGTAGTCTAGCTTCAGCTTCACGCTTCTGAGCTAAACCTTTGCCCCATTCCAGTTTTATCTCCTACAAGAATTAGAAAATTACATTCGTCACTCTATTTGTCTCAGATTCAGATTATAGCACATCTAATGGGGAGTATAGAGTTAAAGAGCAAACAGTACCTTTGGCTTCTCTATCACTTTTTTTTGCTTCGATTTAAGATATTCCTCCTTTGATATACGCTTCCCTGCAATATCAATAAACATCTGGGAGTGAGACATGAGATTATGCATTTTGCATTAATGACTAGGGACCTATAGTCCTCACCTGTGATCTTGTCACGAAATACTGCTTCTGCATTTTGTCCAGTTAGCTCGGAATCCATATTTTTAAACCTGTAGAAGAGTATATAATTTGTCAGAAAGATGGCACCCTAAAAACATGCAGTCGAGAATCTCAAATCATCGTTTGAAGACTGGTCTCTCTATGAATTCCCTATTTAAAGACACAAAAGAGAAAATCTTAGAAACTTAGGAAGTAGGCAACATGAAACTTCAGGGAAATAGGAAACTACTCGCCCCAATACTACTGAAACAAAACCTGATGCCTATAACTAAAACGCAGTAACAGATTCTAAAAACGCTTAATCTACTTTTTGATTATTACCTCAATTGTTCATCCTCCTTTTTCTTTCGATATTCACTTCCAATGTCTTTGCCACTAATCAAACCGGTCTTTCGTTGCTCCTTGCTTGTTTGAGGAGGTGGTGATTCTCTGCGTGGTCTCCTTGGAGGAGAGCTATCAATATTGGAAGAACGTCGAGGATCCGCAGTTTTTCTTTGAGGAGAAAGATCTGAGTCTCGAGAACCCTTCATATTCATATTCCTGCGGGGTGGAGATAAATCAGCATTTGAGGCAATGAATTTTGAAGGCCTTCTACCCGGTTCGGGTGATGGAGAATGATATCGTCTTCTCCGTGGAGGAGAAAGATCATTGCTCTTCTTTTTTACATCTGAGACAGGTGAACCATGTAAATCTCTTTTCCTGCGAGGCGGAGATAAATCATCGTCTAACTCAACAGAATCTGAACGGTATCTGCTAGATTCACGCGATGGAGAATGAACATGTCTTCTACGAGGAGGAGATAGATCTTCACTCAGATTTTTGGGGACTTTAGCTTCAGGCTCTGGTGAAGGCGAGTCATTCCTGGCTTTTCTTTTGCGAGGTGGTGACATATCAGAATCCAAACTAACAGGCTTTGTATGTTTTCTGTTAGGTTCAGGTGAAGGCGAATTGTGACGTTTCCTCCGACGTGGTGGTGACATATCTGTTTCAACTCTATCCGCAACCGAACGTCTAGGCCCAGGCTCAGGAGAGGGCGAGTCATTACGAGTTCTTTGTCTACGTGGAGGAGAAATATCAGATTGTGTGTCTTCACGGTTTAGAGGTAACGTCACCCACCCACTCCCATCCTCAGCAATGGCATTATGTGCACGCCTTGCCTTAATTTCCTCCAACCTCCTCATTCTCTTAACATCAATGTCTTCGTCAACCAAAGGTCTTTCCTCTTGACAAACCAAAAAAAAAAAAAAACACAATTTGTCAGTGTGAACTGTTACCAAATCAGAGAAGTGAAACATTACATATGCAACAAGTCCAAGAAACAAGAAACAGTTAAGCAATTTACCTGCTGAATCATTTTCGTTTTCGTCCTCTTCAGGATCAACCGGCTTTTGCCAAACTGGATCTTCGTCGACAACTAAAACACCTTTTGGTTCAGGTTTAGATGGCTTTTTCTGCTTCTTCTTCTTCTTCTTTTCTACAACATCACTACTCTCATACTTCTTCAAGTAATCTTTTAAAGATTTGTTTCCAGTTCCTGGAGCAGCCATCTTCGATTATTTGGAGCCTAAAATACCAATGAAAACCGTGAAAAATTCAGTCAAACATAACATCTAGACGAAGAAGATTTATTCAATTCAGAAACCAGAGGTTCAAGCAGGAATTGAAAATTTGACAGATTAATGGCAATGCCAAATCCGGAATCAACAATTAGTTGCTAAACTCAAATTAGCATCAATCAAGCCCTAGGTTAATCATTATCTAAGCAAAAAAAAACATGAGACTGAATCGAGAATAACTAAACAATGCTTAGTCTCATTATCGTCATCAAATCCACAAATCGAGAAGCTAAAACTAAACCTCAGAACCGATTCCAGAAACCTAGAAAGCGAAACGAAGACACGCATACATAATTTTAGTATCATAAAATTACAAACCTGACCGGAAAACTAACGCCGGAGATAACCAGACTGATATCAGAAGCCCAATGCGAAAGGTTGAAGATAACTCGGGAGAGATCTTCTAGGGTTTTGGATCCCGTGGAGATGATGATTGGGGAAAAACAAGTTTATGGCGGAAATTGAAATTCGAAGCAATTAATAGGGATGCTTTTGTAAATTCCTAATATTAAGAGCTAGCAGGGGCATTTTAGTCTATTCATAAAATTGCTGAGTCGGTCTTTAAAAAGCCCTTCACTGTCATTGTAACTAAATACACTGATTAGGGTTTGTTCTTCTTCCGTCACTCTTTTTTTTCAATCCGCCGCCACTTTTCGTTTCTCATTGCGTTAACATGGCGGTATCGTACAATGCATTAGCACAGTCTTTAACTAGAAGTAGCTGCTTCATCCCCAAGTCTTATTGCGTTAGAGATACTAAGCAGAGAAGCAGATCAAACGTCGTGTTTGCGTCTAATGATAATAAGAACATTGCTCTTCAAGCTAAGGTAAACAAGTGAATCTCTCTTTTATATGTATAGTAATCTTAACTTATAGATAGAATGATTAGCAATGGAATTGTTGTGTAAGAAGGATTTGTTTTGGATTAGAGCGTAGGATTGATATATTGAACCAGACATTGTCAGGTGCTTACTCTTTGACATGAGTAACTACTGTTACATGTCGGGTAGAGAAAAAAGAGAGAAAGATAAGCTTTTTTGATGGTTTCCATTTTTAGGGTTTGGATTTCTCTTTTAAGATGCACATTGTTTGCTTAGTCGTCTGCATTTGGTGATGGCTGAGCTACATCTGTTCATCACATTTGATTAAAGCAATTGTTGTGCACAGAGCAATTTAGTTCTATGAACACTTTCCGAAGTAAATTGGTCTTGTATATTGTAAAGTTGGGATTTTTGCCAGAGATGGTCAGGTTCCTACCCTTTGACATGTGGGTTTGGACTGTTACATCTCTGGTATAGAAAAGAGAGAGAAGGATAGGCTTTTTGATGGTTTCCATCTTTAGGTTTGGATTTCTCTTTCAAGGTGCTCATCGTTTGCTTGGTCATCTTTTGTTTCGTGATGACTTGGCTACATCTGTTCATCACATTTTGATATCTTTTTGAGGAAATGTTTTGTTTTAGGCTCTCGGATTTAGATTAATGCTGCATTGATCTTTTAAGTGTATTCTATTCAAGTCTCAGCTTTAGATTCATGTGCTTACGTTAGTATGATTACTACACTGAATTACTTGGTTACCTTCCGAAGTAGCTTATGTCTAATTTAGAAAAAAAAAGAAGTATATGTGAGGAAAAATTGTTACTTCACTTGATCTTTTGTTGTTATTTGCTGGTCTATGTCTTTTTTACATCCTGTAAACTTAAAATTTGGCCAGAGATGGTCAGGTTCCTACTCTTTGACAAATGAGTTGGAACTGTTACATCTCTGGTAAATAAAAAAGAGAGAAGGAAAGGCTTTTTGATGGTTTCCATCTTCTGGTCTGGAATTCTCTCTGAAGGTGTTCATCGTTTGCTTGGTCATCTGAATCTGTGATGGCATGGGCTACATCTGTCCTCCACAACCTGAATAATCTCCACTGAGACGCTTCATATTGGCTCCCATATCTAGTCTGATAATGTTTATACTATTACAGAGGGGTCTTTTCTGTGTTGGTAGTGTTGCAGTTGTGATCTTTTTTATTACTGTCTCAATAAGCATTGTTTATGCGGGTGTTGTATTCCCTGGTATCTAATCATGATTTCTGTTGTTTTCTTGGGTTAGGTAGATAACTTATTGGACCGCATAAAATGGGATGACAAAGGATTAGCTGTGGCAATAGCACAAAATGTTGATACGGGAGCAGTCTTAATGCAAGGCTTTGTTAATCGGGAGGCCCTCTCCACAACCATAAGTTCTCGGAAAGCTACATTCTTTAGTCGATCAAGATCAACCTTATGGACTAAGGGAGAGACATCCAATAACTTCATCAATATCCTTGATGTGTATATTGATTGCGATCGTGATTCGGTATGTTTGCATGGACCACATCTTGTATATGAATCAGTACAGTGTTATTCTTCATAAACTCATTAGTTTGTATTTTCTCAGATTATTTACCTTGGAACACCTGATGGACCTACCTGTCACACAGGGGAAGAGACTTGTTACTACACATCGGTTTTCGATCAATTAAACAATGATGAGGTTTGCATTTGTGGAATTTGTGTTTTTACCTTTTCCTGTAACAAGAGATGAACTGAAATCTGAAGAGAATTAACTATTTTCTGACTGCATCACAGCCTTCAGGAAATAAGCTAGCATTAACAACATTATACTCGCTAGAATCAATCATTTCCAAGCGGAAAGAAGAATCAACAGTTCCTCAAGAAGGTAAACCGTCATGGACAAGACGGTTATTGACGGATGACGCTCTGCTTTGCTCAAAGATCAGGTATGTTTGTCGGTTATCTGTAATTGAAATTTGAGCTATGGATCCTTATGAAGCTTGTTGGGATTTCTGTTTCAGGGAAGAAGCTGATGAGTTATGCAGAACACTGGAGGATAATGAGGAAGTTTCAAGAACACCATCGGAGATGGCTGATGTGTTATACCACGCAATGGTACTTCTAGCTAAAAGGGGTGTGAAGATGGAAGATGTTCTTGAAGTTCTTAGGAAACGCTTTTCTCAATCTGGAATCGAGGAGAAGCAAAACCGTACAAAGTAACTGTTTTCTTTGGTAGACTGTTTACATGTATTTGTGAGAATTTTTGAAGTTACTCGTACTTATACTGTTGTTCATCGTGGCACTTTATATTGTATAAATAGATATTCTTTGTGACATACTCTCTATTACCGATTGATTTTTGAGTTTCTTGGCTACCTTTCTAGCTTTGGCCTGTCCAAAATATGTCAATCATCTCTGATCCAGTTATGCACACTATTTGACATCATTTTTATATCCTTCTAAAACATCACCAAAATGGAGCCTAAGTCATTTGATCATCTATGAAACTTGCTCTTTATTCAACCTGAATCTGGCCATTTCCATTCATCTTCCAGATAGCATTATTCTGCCAGAGGGTGGCGCAACATATCGGTGATTTTCAGGTTACACAATGCCTTAGCCAACTTGTTGCATCAGTCAATTCATTAATCAAGAGGTCCTCACTCCAACTTTTTTTTAACTCTTGTAAAGCAAATCTTAGACCTTGATAATAATAGTGTTTAAACCACATACTAATATATCTATATATTTAAATATAATTAAAAAAAAATATAAGTATCAATCTATACCGTGCCCAAGAAATTAAAGAGAACAAAAAAGGAGATTGTTTATAGAGCTATATCTTGGATTCAAAGGACTAGATCCTTCTCTCTGTAGTGTGCATCACAGGAGATGATTAACACTATGATACAGGTGGTCTCATCAAGAGGTTTGGTTAGACGAAAACCATAGCTTCTTCTGGCAAACCAGAATCTTCTCGCTTTTAACCGCATACTCTGTCTCCTCTCTTCGGCAACTCCACCTCATCCCTTTCGCCAATGTTGTGATTGCGTCCATGAAATAACTCGATTCTCGGATTATAACATATCCACTTGGTCGCAAAATCCGGTCCATCTCTAGCAAAACGTACTTCATCTCACACCTGTTTACATTACCATATGGTTCAACAAATACATTAATACCAAAGACAAATCTCTAAACCAGTAGACAGCTACTGAAACGTTGTGCATTCTAGTGGTGTTCAATCTTTGATAAACCAAACCCGAAAATCGAACTGAAAACCGAAATAAGTTTTAAAGAAAACAAAAGAGAAAAACCGAATCGAAAACTTAAATAGCTTTGGAAAATAAAAATCTATCCAATAAACAACTCACTTAAACCATACCAAATCGATCAATAGTAGATTCAGATTTACGATGGTTACTAATCTCCTAAAACTGCAAATTCAATAAACCTAAATCTTGATTAAACACTTAAGGCATTTTGAAGCTTAGAGTCCTTTTCAAACAAGTTTACGTTTTCTTCATATTGACAATTCTATCTCATCATTCATAACGTACCTGTGACTCTCCAAGGTAAAAAGGCTGTCAAGGTGAAGAAGATCATATGTTCTTGGATACGTCGAGAAAGCTTCACACCTGCAATTTTGGTTTCAGCTTAATATCACAATACCAAATAATGAAAACAAAGTTTTTGACAAAATGAAACATTTACCAGTCGTGGTAAGTCCCAATGAGACCGCGATCAAAGACAACAGGAAGCGAATTTGCGCTGTACGATGAGACAACATTCATGACCCAAATGGGATCCGCGATGAGAGACGCAGCGAAACCTCCATAAACCGTGTTCATATCCATAACGTTTCTTATCTTGTCTGTCCCAAGAGCTGGTAAAACTTTCTTGTAATGCTTAACTCTGTTCTTCCATTTACCGTCATCGTGTTTCAAACCGCTTGCACTCCCTCCATGAACATCACCAATTCTCTCGGGTGCGACATTTAACCTTTCGGGCCATTTCGGGATTGACCCGAGACCGGATTTCTTGACTTTAGGGGTCGGGGCAACCACGCAGGGACGGAGGGGAGTGTACCAAGCGGAATCAGGTTCTATACTGTCGTCACATTTGGGAGGGTAAGCTTCCATATTCTTTGCGATTTTGTCGTAGCAAGATTTGTCTGAAAGTTTCTGCCACACAGCTATGTCGTCTTTTTGGGCGTACTTTTTGAAACACATGGAGGTTAGAAGTGACTGAAGCTTGTTGTAGTCGGATTTCTGATCTTCCATGGTTGTGTTCCATCCGCGCCATCGTCTATTATAGTTCACAGGTGGACCGGAAAGAACCCAAAAACCTCCAGGTCGAACTATACGGTGAATCTCAAGCAAATAAATTCCACCTGCATGATCAGACAGTACAATTTATGATTCTTCTTAGTTCAAATCACAAGAACTCAGATGCATCGGTAGATATTAGTTCTTACCAAATTCTGTCCAGGGAATAAGACATCTTGAGCAATGAGCCATATCAAATGCATTTGAAGGAAAAGGGAGACGTTGCGTAGAGATAATTCCAAGAATCGCAGGAATTCCACGTTCAAGAGCGAACTGAACCTGTGCTTCATGGTTATCTCTTGGAGC